CCGCCCTTTCGCGCCCCGGCGGCCGCCCAGCCAGCGGCGGAGACCACAAGGCCCTCAGCACCTCGGGAGAGGACACCCTGAGCGACTCAGGTAAAGACCGAGCCAGGGTCCTGGCTGCCCCTCCCCGGCCCCGGGGTGCTTTGTTGTTGTTGTTGTTGTTGTTACCGTTCATGGGTTTGGCTTTGGGGGGAGAGCATTTTGGGATGGGGGTACTGCTTGTGGCTGAGGTCGTTTGTTTTCCGAGGCGATCCCCCACGGTAAAGAAGAGAGGGTGAGTGCAAACTGGGGAGGAGAGTGTTCTCCAAAGTCACCTTCACTGCTCTCCCCGGGACCCCGACTCCATCACTGGCCCTCTCGCCCGGCCCCCCACCTCTCTGCAGCGCAGTGGAAGGAAGAATACTGGGAAAAGTGAAATGGCTAAAGCCAGGTGGGGGTCCAGGGGGCCTCCGGCTGCATTGCCTGTGCAGAAACCTGTTAGCTCGGCTTGGAGAGGGACTGGGGCCAGGGTCCGGTTGGGAGACACCCGGATAATACACAGGCGCTGTGCAAAATCCTGTTTAGGGCACCGGAAGTTAGAGGGGGGTTGCACAGACGGCTTGTATCGGTGTTATTTTATTTTTCAAACCTGGGTACTCTTCTCCCCCGCCCTCCGTGGGTGGTGGGTTATTTGCTCGTGGTGCGTGGCCAGCAGGCGGCGATATGCGGGCCAACAGGCCGGGCCAAGGATCTGAAAGGCTGGGGGGGTGGTGGGGCCATCCCTCCCCTCCATTCAGCAGCTGGCAGCCAAGTACAACAGCGATTGTGTACGTTCTCAAAGGGCCGCCTCTTTACAGTGCGCAGCGAGACCTGGGTCCAGTTCTGTCTTCTAGCCAGAATTCCAGAACTGATTTTCAGAAATGAGCTGAGTTTTTTCACTCAGTGTCCTTCAGGGTGAGGGCTGGCACTTAGCCGGCCCTCCCGGAATGCACACACCCTGGAAAGACTCATTGATAAGTTCTGTTGTGTGACTGTCTTAAACTGAAGGGTAGGGTTAAAAGACTTTGCCTGGGGCTGGGGAGGTAAAGAACTCTACCCAAACACTTGAACAGACCCTTGTCCTTGGAGCTGGGGCTCCTTTGAAACTTGAAAGCCAGTGTTTTCAGAATGCAGGCAGATAAAAAGCCTAAATTTCCTTCAGGGCTAAGGATGGATTCATCTGAGGCTCCTGGAAGGAAACTTGGTGGTAAGCCTCCAGTTTGAAGTGGGTCTGTCCCTTTAATGTCTGTGCCTTGACAGCTTTCGGTGAGGAAGCACTTCCTTCCAACAGCTGTCTTCTTGGCAGAAAACCAAAACATTGGCTTAAAGGGACCCACAGGCTGGAACAGCCTCACATTTCGGCTTTAGAACAAATCCTACAATTGTTCAGCTTTCCGGTCCCCCTCAGATCAAGCAGAAGATGTGTTTTGATTTTCATGCTTGCATTTTAAACAATAATTTTCTATCCCAGCATGGTAGTAAAATGAGGAGAGGGGAAAATGCATACATGATGCTACACGATCTTGTTGCTGCTGTTATTACTGGTGACTTTGAGAAGGGGTGCTCGCATATTTGGATTTAGGACGCCTGTGGATTATGACTTTGTAGTTAGGATTTGGTCTTTGCTAGATGAAAAACTGCTTAATTAAATTGTTCTTTAAGTTTAAGGACCGAAAATCAAACTCAACCATGTGTAAAATCGCTAAATGAGGCTCCCGAAACGAGGAGCCTCAATTCTTAAGTGTAAAGATGGAAATATAAATAAGTCTATGGAGTTGGACTAGTTAGTGATGATGGGAAAAGCTACCATTTACTGAGCCATCTGTCTGCTAGGCCCAGCTCTCTAAATGTTATCTGTCCAGTTCAACGCCGTGGTGTTATCCACATTTAAGAGCTGAGGAGCCTGAGGCTTAGAAAGGTTAAGTAACTTGCCCAGTGTCCCACAACTACTGTGTGATGGAGCCAGGATTCTGTCTAACTCCAAAGCTCAGGTTCTTTCTATTTCTACCACTTGCTAAAGTCTGGAGGCTGAAAAAGTACAAGGAGTTTGGGGGAGGAAAAAGGATTTACAGATATATTTAATCGAAGGAGACCTAAAATAACATTTCTGTCCGCATCTATGCTGATGGATTGATGATAGTAGCAAACCGTGTGCCAGGGCTTGCCGTAAGAGACGGTGTGTAAATAGTCACGTGTCTCACCGTGAGAATAACTCTGATTTTGTTCTCCAAGACGATGAAGATGACGAAGAAGAAGACGAAGAGGAGGAAATCGACGTGGTGACCGTGGAGAAGCGGCGGTCCTCCTCCAACAGCAAGGCTGTCACCACCTTCACCATCACTGTGCGCCCCAAGAGCGCAGCTCTGGGCCCCGGGAGAGCCCAGTCGGGTGACCTGATCCTCAAACGCTGTGTACCCATCCACCAGCAGCACAACTATGCCGCCCCGTCGCCCTACGTGGAGAGCGAGGACGCGCCGCCCCAGAAGAAGATCAAGAGCGAAGCGTCGCCTCGTCCCCTCAAGAGCGTCATCCCCCCAAAGGCCAAGAGCTCGAGCCCTCGCAACTCCGACTCGGAGGACAGCGAGCGCCGCCGGAACCACAATATCCTGGAGCGCCAGCGCCGCAACGACCTGCGGTCCAGCTTCCTCACGCTCAGGGACCATGTGCCGGAGCTGGTGAAGAACGAGAAGGCCGCCAAGGTGGTCATTTTGAAAAAGGCCACCGAGTACGTCCACTCCCTGCAGGCCGAGGAGCACCAGCTTTTGCTGGAGAAGGAGAAGTTGCAGGCAAGACAGCAGCAGTTGCTAAAGAAAATTGAACACACTCGGACTTGCTAAACGTTTCTCAGAACTGGACAGTCACTGCCACTTTGCACATTTTGATTTTTTTTTTTTTTTAAACAAACATTGTGTTGACATTAAGAATGTTGGTTTACTTTCAAATCGATCCCCCGTCGAGTTTGGATCTGGGTGGGGAGCAGGACATGTGGGGTTCTGCCAGGACCTCGGGAGAGGGCCTGCGTGATGAGATGCTGGGTGGCCCTTTAGAGTTTCCTCCAAGTCACCTCCAAGGCAGCGGTCGAAGTTCGTGAGAGTTGGAAGCCTCTGGGGCTGTTGAAGTCACCTTGTTTGTTCTGAGTTTTCCAAACAACAGAAAGTCATTCCTTTTAAAAATGGTGCTTAAGTTCCAGCGGATGCCACGTAAGGGGTTTGCCATTTAATGCCCCTGGGGAACATTTCTGTAAATACCAGTGACACACCCGCCTTTTGTATACGTCCTGGGTAATGAGAGGTGGCTTTTGTGGCCAGTATTAGACTGGAAGTTCATACCTAAGTACTGTAATACCTCAATGTTTGAGGAGCATGTTTTGTATACAAATATATTGTTAATCTCTGTTATGTACTGTACTAATTCTTACACTGCCTGTATACTTTAGTATGATGCTGATACATAACTAAATTTGATACTTATATTTTCGTATGAAAATGAGTCGTGAAAGTTTTGAGTAGATATTACTTTATCACTTTTTTGAACTAAGAAACTTTTGTAAAGAAATTTACTATATATATATGCCTTTTTCCTAGCCTGTTTTTTCCTGTTAATGTATTTGTTCATGTTTGGTGCATAGAACTGGGTAAATGCAAAGTTCTGTGTTTAATTTCTTCAAAATGTATATATTTAGTGCTGCATCTTATAGCACTTTGAAATACCTCATGTTTATGAAAATAAATAGCAATTAAATGATGCAACTTTTTTTTTTCCTTGATGGCATTAAACTCGGCCCCTTAAGCAGTGACTGTAATTGGACATACCTTACAGAGGGATCTTGGTTTCCACAGACAGCGGCCCTTTTACATTATACAGTCTTGATTAGGGAGGGGACTGTTGCTCCCACTCGGGGTGGAGAGAACTGAGTTTAGGAAGGTTGAAACATTTCTCCCAGGTTACACAGGATAGAGATGTTATTAGTGACTCTGCATTGCAGTAATAGCTCAACAGTTTGAGGAGCACCTTCATATATATTAGCTATTTCACAGACTTAAGCTAGGACATCAGACATCAACCTATTAGAATGAGAAGAAGCAAAGTCAAGACAGCGTTGTGTAATTTGGCTGTATTTTAGTGTTGGTCATACTTATCTCTTTGGCAGATGGTTTTATATGTTGGTCTAGAGTGTGGTTTTGTCTCCCAAGAAGAATGCATTCTTCCAAGTTCACTAGGACTTGGGCAAGGTTCTATGCTGAGCGTTGCAGCAGAATAAACAATGAAGTTGGTCCCTCTCAAGGAGCTCTCAATCTGATTCACAGAAGTAACTCGTGAAGCGACAGCCATGTGGCCCAGATCCAGTGCCATGTCCCTTCAGGAGAGACACCAGAGCATAGTGTAGCTCCTGTCACACAGGCTGGTATTTGGGCTGCCCCGTGGAAGCAGGATTAACCTCTGCAGGGTCTGGAGCACTGCCAGCACCAAAGGGTGGAGGGATGAGGGTGGGCACATCAGCTAGGAAGGAATTTCACAGTTCCCGATGGGGAAGTGGCACTCTTGCTTGTGAGTCCTTCAGCTTTTCTGAAATGGAAAACCTACAAAAACCTAGTTCTCTTTCAGGTGAGAAGTTGTACTTGATTATTTCTGTAAGGTTTCATCCATCTCAGATTTTTAGCTCTGAACTGAAAAAAGCCTTTTGCTTTACTGGGAAGAAAACGACCAGGGATGACTGTGCTTTTTCTTGTCACAGCTTGTGAGGGGCAGAGATGGGAGAACCTAGGTCATGTGGTTCCCTGTCTACTTTGGCCATTTTTCAGAGGCCAGTGGGCGATCAGAACTTGAGGTCCTCCTCACCTGGTTTGCAGTCACGTGTCCTAGAGCTCTGAGGCCGGGGTTACTGCCATGGCCATTTCCGATGGTCCGACCATGTTGCAAATCATGGATACAATCTTCTTTATTGTTTTATATCTCTACTGGTCTCCATCCCCATGCTAGAAAATAGCTGAACTTGCTTTGAAAGTCCACTTCGAATTGTCATTCAAAAGACTTCCTGTCCATTTGCATTTTACAAGCCCCAAATCACCTTGCCTCTGCACTTTGTATAACCCTGAGCCAAAAGAAAGTTCTGTGCACCCGAGATTCTTGAAGTTCAGCTTCTCTGTTTGTGGTCCCCATGGAAGGTCACTTAAGTGTTTCAGATGAGATGGAAGTCTAGCCATGGAGGAGGAAAACTCGGAATGAATGAGGCCCTACTACACTAATTCCTACCAGGCTCCATTTTTGCTCTGGCTGCTGGGAAGCTCAGAGCTAAATTTCATGCTCTGATTCTACATATCTAGTACCCATTCTCTCTAAATATCTACGATCTCTTCTTTCTCATTGTTAATTCAACTCCCTTTATTATGTTTATTTTGTTACATTAAAGAGAATTTTTTGCATTGGGGGATCATCAATATGTAGTAAAATAATAGAACCAAAGTAAAAATACCACTTATTTGCCTTTCCTGGCCCAGCTGAGAGAAAGTGTCACCCAATCTAGCTCTGCAATTATCTATAAAGTAATTGCTGTAGTCACAGAAGGATTGAATGACTTGTTTCGATCACATGAGAAACCATGTCTGCATTCCCAGAGCAGTTCTGACACTGAGAAACTGCTCTAAATCAGTGACATCAATAAATCATAGGACTTAGATCATCTCATGGAGTCACTTCCTTTTACAGAATGGGATTCTGGAATCCCATATCGAATTAGTGGCCGAACCTGGGACTGGAGTCAGGCCTCATGGGCAGTCCGGTGTTCCTTCCACGGCATTGGCTTTCCCATTGCCCACACAGTAGCCCCTACTTCCTGGCTCACCTGTCTACCTACAGCGTGCTTCCACATCAAGCCTTCTAAATCACCAGCCCTGCATGAAACCTTCCAATGGTTCTTCACCTCTTACAGGATGAAGTCCAAATCTGTCAGCCGGGCACAGAGGATGCTACCACGAGCTCCATCACCCTCTCCCCCTCCACGCGCTCCCCATGACAGCCACACTAGACACGGTCGCACGGTCTCACCTCCGACTTGTTCCACCACATCTCCTGGATCATCCAGTTTCTGCTTATTGAAATCCTTTTCAACCTCGAATGGCAAACTCGGTGTCATTTTGCTCAGGAAATCTTCCTTGTACCCTCAGGTGGGCCTTTTCTAGCCCTTGATCCTGCATCGTCGCCTCTAAATATGGGTGTCCCATGGGCTCCCTTAAGGCAAATACGGTGATCCATTCACCTCTGACTTTCAGCCCAGGCCTGGTGATTGACAGATGCAAGACCTTGGCAGACGCAAGCAGAATGGCTGGCGGCTGAGTAGATGGTGGAGGAAGGAAAGAGGTGAGGAGCAGGGGGAGCAGACTTCTATCATGTGTGTGTCTCTTGCTAATCTTGCGCCAAGCTCTCAGGATAATACGAGTGGGCAAGCACAGCCATTAGGCACCCGTGAACGTCTGGTCCTGACTCCCGGGAGTGACGATAAGATGCATATGGAGGCCTGTCTTCAGGAAGCCCACAGTCTGGAAGGGAGTTACGTCTTGGGGCCTCGTGGAGAAGGCTGGGAGGGGACACAGGAGGAACTGGTATGTATGGGGTGGGGGGACTGTTGGGCAAATCATATGAAGGGGGCCATGGCTGTGTCAGGCTCTGCATCTCCAGGATCCCCGTTTGGAACTGTTTGTTGGAAGAAGCTGGTTCGCTGCTCTACCACAAGCCGGCTTGTCTGAGGTCACAGATCATTTGCACCATGGTTAGAAGGCCTCCCCTCTCTGCGCAGCCTGGTGGAGATCACTCCGTTTTTGACACTTGAGTCTCACAATCTTCCAGGAGTGTTGACCGGTTCATTATATTTCTCTTTGGGTCTTTTGGTTTGACTTTCGCTAATCCCTCTGGCCACTACCTTTTGAAAATTTTAACTTGGGTTGATTTTAGAACCAGAGGTTATGAGATTCGAAAGAAGAGTAGAAGCCATCTAGCTCAGTCTCCGTCTCAGAGGCGGGACGCCAGACAGGAGAGAAGGGCATGCCGTGGGCCCCTCGAGACTTCTTTTTACTTTCTTACTTTCTCTCCCTCCTTCTCTCTCTTTGGCTCTCTCTCACAATAAATATTTATTTAGCGCCTATCACGTGCCAAGCATTGTTCTAGACACTTAGAGACATCAGTGAACAAAAGAGACAAAATGCCCCCAAACCATTTATAGTCCAGTAGAGAGTGACAACAATAAAATAAACATAATTGAATAAATCGAATCGCATTCAGTGAGACGGTGGGTGCTAGGAAAGATAAGAAGCCACAGCAGGAGGGAGGCGGGTCAGCCTGTCAGGAAGGTGCACAGGGTTTGGGGTCAGCCTGTCAGGAAGGTGCACAGGGGCTGGGAGCTGAGGGCCAGGCTGGGGAGAGCACCCAACCCCGGGCACTGTTGCCGCTGCTGCAAGGCCAGGAGTCAGGCTCCAGGCTCCCCAGCGGGCTCTTCGTCCTTCATCTTTCTCTGGTCATTGGCAAACGCGCCCCAGCAGCTTCTTATTCACTCTCTCAAGAGAACGCGAGAGCGTGGAGCAGTGAGTAGTGTGGATCGGAAGCGGGACTCCCTGGTTTGCTTCTGACTCCCGCACCCACACGCTCCGGATTGTGCCATTTCCCACTGGTACGGTGAAGATAACGGTGCCACTTCACGGGGTCTTAGGAAGATTACAGAAACCAGTTTCCATGCGGCACATGGAAGAGTGCCCGGCTCATGATGGGTGCAACTGAAATCTGTTAAATAATCTGATTTCTTGTTGACACGATCCTTCCTCTCTATTTTTCCACTATGTTACTAGGGCACAGAGTCTTTAAGAAAAAAAACACACACAACAACATTTACTGGTAGAACAAATTCACAAGCCCGAGCTTAGCAAGAACTTTGCGGACTTTTGTTCCTCAAAAGAAGCCTTTTACAAAACCTGAAAACGGGTACCTTGGAAACAAATGAATGTGAGCTTTGAAGCCTATTTAAGACAAGCCCAGGAATTTGAGCGCCCTAGAGCATCTACGCCGCCCACAATGGTTTATTAGTTTTCCTTACTTGTAAAGGAAATCTCTTCATAGGCCACTGACCAGGGTTACCTGATCTCTTTTGATATTGACGGATCATGCTACAAGACATTCATCCTGAAACCTTTGACCAGGAGAAGTAACAGAGCCTTTTTATGGTCGAAGCAGACAGCCCTGTGGGTATGGTGCACATGAGAAAAACACATACAGCACGTATGATAAAGACGCACGGTCTGCTGCAGGATGCGCTCCGAAGAGGTGATGCAAACTTGACTTTCTTTTGCAATCTAGCAGGTCTGAGATTTCCCACGGGGATTTGGGAGATGGTGCGGTGTTGAGAAGCTAGTCCATTCCTTGATATCCCCACAGCCTGTTATGGGTTGAATTTTGTGTCTTAAACCATCCTTCACCATTTTTCTGAGGGAAAGCATAAAAGTGGTCCCTCCACCCTACAAAAAGCCATTCCACGCTGACTGAGAGGCAGCCCCGGGTAATAGAAATACTTGGTTCGCAGGCAGAAGCCCTCGGCTTGGACTTTAGCTCAGTCTTCTCGCTATTTTCAATCGTGGCACAGGAAGGTGGCCGCCCGTTGCTCAACTGTCTTGTCCGTGGGTGGGATGGGTGGGAGCTGGTAATCTCCAGGGTCCCCTTTCAATTCTGAGGAGCGAGCATCATTGATCCTTAGGGGTAGCTTGAACTG